ATTTACTGGGAGTGTGGTGAACTGTGGAACTTGCTACCACATGGAGTAGTCAAGGTAGCATACATAGTATAGATATATTTAAGGGGAAGCTAGATAAACACACAAGTTGATTGGATAAGATGAAGTGGGGCGTGGGGGTGAGGAAGCTCAGGCAGCACATAACACCAATGTAGACTGTTCAGCACAATTAGTTTGTTTGTGTGTCATTAATTCTATTTAAAGAGTGTAAACGTGTGTTCTTCAGAATATAGGGGAGCTTCTCTATTCCCAATACTGCTTTAAAAAACATGGTGACAAAATAACATGCATAACTACTGATTTAAAAAGTCTTGATGATTTAATGCAGGAAATTCTATGGATGTGCTCTGAATACATAGTGAGACTTTGGCTCATTTTCCAGACTCATGTTAATTCCAGGATATTGAGTAAAGAGCACAGCAGAGTAGAGATTTTCCCATTTTGTATCTACCATTAACTGTAACTAAAACAAGTGATTTGATTTGATTTGTTCATTTAAAAATGTCTACAGAAAAATAACTGATATTTGAAATCAAGAGTTTAATAAACAAATTTGAAGCAGGCAATACAAGGACACAGAAGTTCATATCCAGTCCTTTAAAATTAAGCAGCCATACAACACAATAATTTCAAAAAAGGATTTACAATTTGTCCAACTGATAAACTAATTTGAGGTTACAGAATTAAAATTCAATCCAATCTAACTCAGCCTACATTCAATTAGGTGGCAAAATTATACATCAACATATTAATCCATTTAATGTAGGGCTTTCACTGCCATATTTGAAATTAATATGTCTGATATAGTTTTAGCAGTGCCTTTAAGTTAATCGAAGTCATTCAAAACTCTACTTCCCTTAACTCAGGCCAAGTCCTGTTGACCCATTGCCCCCTGTGCTCCCAGTCCTACATTGCTGGCCTGTGAGCCAATGTTATGATTTTAAAAATTTTCATCCGGTTTTCAAATTCCACCATGGCCTTTCTCCACCCTAATTTCTGCAATCTCCTCCACCCAACAATCTTACGAAACATGCATTCTTCCAATTCTGGACTTCTAGCATCTCAGATTTAGTTGTCGCACTACTGATGGGCATGCTTTATGATGCCTCGGTCCTGGAATTCCCTGCCTAAAACTCATGACACTCTACCTCTTTTAAGCTGCTCCTCAAAAACTCAATGACCAAGCTTTTGGTTATCTCTCCTTGACTCTCATAGTATCAAATTTTAATTTATGTCCTTGAGAAGCATCTTGGTACATTTTGTTAGAGGTGGAATGTAAATACAAACTTATTCCATTTTCTCGTTACTCACTTTCCTGCTAACAGAAAGTTTCTCCCCATTTACTCTATCAAAGTCCCTCAATTTTGACCATCTTTATTAAATCATGCTTGATCCCTATTCCAAGAGCACTATGGCTTCTCCAGTCTTTCCACAGAACTGAATTCCCTCCCTCATCCCTCCTACCTGTCTGGTAAACCTCCTCAGGACCCCCTTCAAAACATGGACATCCTTCTTAAAGTATTGCTCAAAACTGGATATAATCCTTCAGCTAGGGCCTAACTAGTACACGTATATCAGAGTCCTTTGGTTTTTATGCTAGAAACTGAAATTTTTTTATGGGCAAGGTCTGTGAAATTAAAAGAAAAGTTCTACATAACAGGCAGCAAGATGGACTGAATGCTGTACAGCCCATTCCTATTCTTAAAGTTTCAAGATGGCTGAGGTTATAAAATGCATGTCACAGATCTGTATCACATTGTACCAAAACAGTTCATGATTTAACTCTTTTAAAATAGGTATTTGCAGCTTGCTTCAATTAATTTGAAAGTTAACTGGAAGTTTCCAGTTCAGTGGCTGCCTGTTTAAAATGTTAAAGATCATCGTGAAGTAGATGCAAGAAATAATAGTACTGTTATGGTAGAGTGGACAGTTTAATAAATTTTTGAAGCTACCATACTAAAAGGTAGGAATTTAGAATTTTCCTTGAAGGCTGGAAAGGGTGAATGTTGGCTGGCATAAGTAACAAAAAGACCATTTAACATTAGCAAAAAAATAAAGCTGAAGACTGCTGGCATCAGCAACAACCTGCATTTGAATAGTACCGTTAATTATAGAGCATCCCAAGATATTTCGTAAGAGTGTGATTTGGGAGAAGAGCCAAATGCTTGGTCAAAAAGGTAGGTTTTAAGATTCATCTTAAAAGGGAGACAGTGACAGCATATTTAGGAGTTGATTGAAGAAGTTGGAGTAAACATAGGAAATGGGAGTAGGAGTAGGCCATTCGGCCCATCAAGTCTGCTCCATCATTCATTTTGATTATGGCCAATTCAATAACCTGTCCCTGCTTCCCCACCCCAGTAAGATCCTTTGATCCTTTTAGCCCCAAGTGCTATATCCACTCCTCCTTTAAATCCTACAATGTTTTGGCCATGACTGCTTTTGAAGGTAGCAAATGCCACACTCTACATGGAGAAATTTCTCAACTCAGTCCTAAATGGTTTACTCTGTATCCTTAGATGCTGACCCCCGTTCTGGACTCCCCTGCCATTGGGAACATCCTTCCTGCATTTACTCTATTTACTCTTGATTGAATTCTATAACATTCTATGCGATTCCCATATCCCCTCACCACCGCCCCTTTGTTGTAAGGAAGGCTGGAGCATGCAAGAGATGGGATAGTTTTAAGGGAGAATGAGAAATACTTACTATGATACAATTGTGAGTATCAGGTTTTTAAAAGACAGCAGGACAACTGACCTCTCATCCACAAACGAAATATTAAATAAATTGTACATTTTAAATTACAATTTCAAGTAGAATTTAACAAAGTATTCTAGATACTTCTCACACAAGTCTAAAATCCTAATTTAGCTCACACTAAGTTGATCCAAAAGCAAGACTCATGTTCTTCACAAAAACGTTTATTCCAGATTCAAGTCCCACATGATCCAGAGTTATGTCATAACATGCTGAAATAGCTTGATTAAAAAAATTAAAAAGTCAATGTCAATATCAAATTTATGAAGTTTTACCATATTTGGGAAGTGTCATAAAACATTTTGAAAAGTTAGGGAAATTCAAATCCTGGATTAGCATTAGTACAGGGAAGATACTGTTACTTATGGTTGCAGCAAATTTAAAATCTACTGAAATATCTGAAAGGGGAATACCTGAATTCATAACTAATATTAAGTTGATGTATATAATTTCTGTCAAGAAAATAACAAATAAGCTGTCAGATCAGATCCTAAAAATTAAGAGACAGTGTGAATTGGAATCAAACAAGTTCTCTCAAGCATCCCCAACATCTAATATTTCAGATTATTTAAACAGCAAACCATCTAAGTTTGAACCTATTTCAAGAGCATTTAAAGCAGATTTCTGCATTTCATGTCATTTAATATTATCCAAGTAAAGCCTAGAAGCCATTTAACATGGAGATTGAGGAGTTTACTGGGGCTCATTAATTTTTGGAATTTCCCTCCCACAGAATAGCGGAGGCTAGGTAATTGAACGCATTCACGGCAGAGTTAGGCAAGCTCTGATCTATAAAAGGGAGGGATTGGCTGGGCAGGCAAGAAAGTGGAGTAGAGTACACAACTGATCAGCCATGAGCTTCTAAATGGCTGACTTTAGACGGGAGGGAAATAAGTGTCCTACTCCCATTTGTGTTCTAAATATTTTTGAGAGTCTTTTTGTGCCTGCAGATTTTCTGGTGTGCATGTTGAAAGTTAATCTGACAGGATTACTTGGCTTCTTGCATTCTCTTCATCACTTCTCTCCACTAGTGCACTCCTCCCACCACCCCCAAATCCCAGAAAGCCTCTCTTCCACTGCAAAGTTCTTATTTCAAAGGAAGCAAATTTCACTTGTTCCTCAACTAAGTAAGATTCTGAACATCATTATTTGGAAACAGGCATGTGCGGTGGGTCGATGATGATAAAACAAGTGCAGATTTCTACCCGAGTCCCCTTACTGGTGCCCACTTTTCCATAAATCAAAATGTTCATAATTACAGATTCACATCTGATGCCTCAAAGTGTATTATAATTTGCAAACAACATTCCTCAAAGCATTTCAGCAATAATTTGCAGCTTGCACCTCAAAGTTTCTACACAAAATAACTCAGTTGTATGAGATGACCTGGGAATAATTTGAGTGATTAAACATGAAATAGTCCATGGCTTTGCTTAAACTCCATTCAAAAGCATATTGCTGCAAAATTTCAGGCACTGTCAGCAAAGCTTAACGAAATAGATGTCAAAAGATATTCTGGCAACAGAACATGCTCGGATTTGGGAACCAAGTTGCTTAAGTTGCATTCCTGACAGACGTTAAAAAGAACAAGAGCTGCAAGGAGGATGTAAAGAGGTTTCTCAATTTATGCAGACTGAGGGAATATAATATGGCTAAGTATGAGGTTATCTGCACTTTCGTTCCACCTACCAAAGCAGAACATTTATATATTGGTGAGAGATTGTATGTATATCCAAAGGATCTAGGTGTCCTTGTTCTTATCACTGAAAGCTAGTGTGCAAGTGCAGCAAGCAATACCAAAGGCAGAGACAACAAGATGGTGAGTACTGGAGCAAAGAAGCCCTGTTTCAACTGTGTAGAAATGGAGAGATTGAACCTGGAGTATTGTGTGCACTTTTTGTCTCTTTACCCATAGAAGGATACACTTACAAGTGTCATTCCTTCACTGTTGCTGCGTCAAAATTTTGGAACTCTGTCTATAGCACAGTGGATGTACCAACAACACAAACTGCACAAATTCAAACTGGCAGTGCATCAGCACATTCAAGAGCAACAAGGGACAGGAAATAAATACTGTCCTTGGTGCCCACATCTAGTGATGAACATTAAAAAAAGTGCTTTGCTGTTTTTCAATGCTTCCATGGCCTGCAATGCTCCAATCCCCAACCTGAAAGGCTGAAATTCTTGAAGAATTGATTATTATGAAGGCACAAAAACAAGTTAGGTTTCATTAAATAAAATTTAATTTTGTTAAAATAATTTAAATCCAAATACAGTTGACATGTTTGCATCGAATTATATTTACACTTCTTGCTCAATTCAGAAACAGCAAGGCTACACCACAGTCAACACCTGGTAAAAATGGTGCCATTAAGTATTCAATTGCGTTAGTGCTTGACAGCTAACTGCCAAATCATTATGTTTTAAGTCACCTCTGGGAAGCGCTGAAAATATACTGATGTTAAAACAAAGTTAACAAAAATAAAAATACAGAGAAACAGCTTCAGAAAACTATTAAAGCCAAATGCAATATAAAATAAGTTTTTTTTAAAAACATCCAAAGAATGGCTGTTCAACCAATAAATCTTTAGTTTTAACAGGAATGCAAACAATTATCTGATACATTACAGTTAAAACCAACAGAACTCAAAACTAATATGTTAAAGGCAACATTCTTTACCAGAGTGAAATATACAGGATTAACTTTGAAGCTTTGGTAGTTGGGGTAGCTGGGAGGTGCTAAAGGAAACAGTTCAACCATTTTCAACAAGATCAGAAGTGTTAAAATATTAGAAAAAAACAAATGCATTTGGTGAGCCAGCACAGCATCTGTTCTCAAATGGAATTACTTGGGGCAATTCACAGGATATCTGCTCTTACCTTGTACTAGACAGCACATGGTCTAGTGAACTTTCACAGGAATAACCTCCCTCCTCAAATCCCAGAGTGTCCTGGAATGGATCTACTGCCAAAACTAAAGTTTCAGAAGTCCAAGTGTAACTAAACACTGTCACAATACAGTCATATTCCCTTGTCCATAACACTTTGGTATGTGAAGCAAACCCTTTTGAAACAACTTTTACTATATCACCCTGGTATGCTACTACATCAAAGCTGACCTGCACAATAGATCACGAATAGTTTTATATTTAGAAGTTAACAGTTCTTCCCCTCCACTGTTTTTCTGCACCAAAATCACACCAATGCCAATTACTATACACCACATGCTAATGGAGACATGTTATTTTCACAATGATAGCATGTAGTTACCACTAAGTGTCTACACTGCAAAGTATGCAGGCTGGCTCCTGGGCGATTCCACCCCATCAACAAAAAAGTTGTGGGGGCGGGGGTGTGGGAAAAAATGATGTACCCCTTGCCCCAACTACCCAAAAGAATCTGACATCACAAAAAGAAACAAACGAACAGTCATGGATCTTCATTTGTTCACGTGTTTTTGTTACGGTACTAGTAAAGATCTTTTAATGTTGGGCTGCCCATCACTTCTACACTTACGGCAAATGCCAAAGTTAAATATCCACAGTTATTCTTGGTGGTTTTTGAACCTTCAACAATGTTTTGCTAGTTAATAAAACAAACACTATGGCAAAGTTGGAAATGGGTCAAAACTGCAAAGCAAATAAAAATAATACATGCAGCTTTGCCTATATACTGGCAGTGATCACTAGAAAATATTGGACAGAATGCGAACGGTTTCCTACGCTAGATAACCTAGGTCAACGGAACTGAACACACCTTACTTTCATTAAAAAATTCTTCAAATTTCAGCCAGGTGATTCATATTGTGATTTATACATCTACACTCCATACGCACACAGTTAACACACAAGTTGCAAATTAACAACACAAACCACTGACTACAATTCTTTCCACATCACAGAAAGTGGCCACAGATCAAATCCTAGTCATTTACAGCAACAGTATTATGGTGTTGATTGGCACATAGTTCTATTAGTGAATGCAAGGCTTTTTACCTTCATCTCAGGACTGGCACAATTAATTCAAATTATTTCCACTACTTATATACATAACAAGGCTCATGTGAATCAGATAAGGGGTAACATATTACATGCTTAAAAAAGTTACATTGCAGATCATCAATTACTACTTTCCACCTAGAAACTTTCAGACATCTATGTTTCTCAGAAACTGCAACCCTGCTGTCAGTAACTTCTGAAATATTCAGTGTTATAACTGCTCATCCATTTTAAAATAAAACAGTTGCAGGCAATCAGATTAAGATATTTATATATTACCACGAGCACACTCATTAAAATGGATGTGCAAACAAGATTTCATTTCGTAGGATCCCTACACAGTGTGGAAGCAAGCCATACAGCCCAGCGAGTCCACCTTGCCCCTCTGGAGAATCCTACACAGACCCAATCCTGCCCTATCCGTGTAACCCACATTTCCCATAGTTAACCCACCTAGCCTGCACATCCCTGGACATTATAGGCAATATAACATGGCCAAACCACCTAACCTGCACAACTTTGGATGGTGGGAGGAAACCGGAGCACCTGGAGGAAACCCATACAGATGTAGGGATGACGTGCAAACTTCACATAGACGGTTGCCTGAGGATGGAACTGAACCCGGGTCCCTGGCGTTGTGAGGCAGCAGTGCTAACCACTGAGCCACCGTGCTACCCCATTTATTGTTTGTAAAGATGACAGGGAGCGAAGTGGATTAACTAATAAGGTGAAGGTGATGAAAAACACTCATGCTCACAATTACACAGTATCACCAAACACATCTTAATGCTTACAGAATTTATTTCCAAGCAGCCAACACACAGTTCCAGGCGTAACAACAATCTCACTTGATTACAACCCCATTCTAAAGCAGAAAACTTTTGACTAACACATCATATTGATGATATAGAATCAGAGGACGGAAACAGACCATTTGGTCCAATTAGTTCATGCCGAACATAATCCCAAACTAAACTAGTTCCACCTGCTTTGTCAGGTGTCAATGCACACATTATACCCCGTTTGCCCAGAGATGCATGTTAAAAAAAGTCTCCTAGCACTAGTTTAACTGCCGAACGTTTTTCATGTGTCTTGGCCAATATTTATCCCTCAAACAAGAAACATGCATCTAGTCATTTACAGGTTACAAGTATTTTCAATTGTGCATAGAGTGTAAATCTTCATTTGTTTTAGTTTTCTGCGGTACAGAGATCACAAAAGGAGTTCTATGCACGGAACTTCGATCTGTAAGCAGAAAATGAGGAAAACAACTTAAGTAGGAATTTGACGTGTACACCAAAAGGTGCCCACAATGAGGCCCACTACACCTCTGGTCAACATAACAATTACAACTTTGTAGCTGTTCTGAAGGTTAAGATGGCAACTAAATTACAATAAATTATAAATATCTGTTGGATCTTGTCCCTTCACTCTACTTTCCCCAAAGACTTCCTCAGTTAGATATTTAATCACTGTCCCACCAAAAATCCACAATCGCACCACAACCTTATCCAATTTTGCCTTACCTCCACTAAAGGCCAATAACCAAGCTGGTCCTAATCTAACCATATACTTTGGGATCTTGGAAACCCTAGAACCCAGAGGCTAGAAGACTCAAAATGGGGTACTCTGCCTTTTGCAGCTTTAATTTAGATGGTTCCAATTCAACCTCCATGACTTCATGCAAGGGGAAAATTGTAGTGATAGAAGTTTGCTATTCAAAAAAAAAAACAGACGGAGTGGATACCTAAATTAAAGTTAACAGCAGGAACATGTCTGTTCAGCAGCTTTTGGTAGTTTAGCACAAGCTAGACAGTCACACGCATTCCAATATTTTCATATACAATCACTGCCAATATATAGGTACAGCTACACAAGTCCCTATTCAAATTCACTCACAAGGTTTTAACAGATGTCTAGCTTTGCCCTTAATGTTTATTCACTAGCTGAAGCAGTGATTAAATACAGCCTCACTTCATAAAACAAACAAAAAGAAAAAAATTGGAATTAGATGTGCTTATGAATAGCTCCTTTTATGCAATCATAAATGATACACTGTCAAAACAACATTTGAGCATACACATCACATAACTCTACTGGTAAACCAACCACAAACAAGCTAGCTTCCAGATCTACGAAGATTTTTTGACTATCTTTATTGCTCAAAAAGCAACACCTTTAGAAGAATCAACTACTCCTATACTTGGGAAATATACTAAACTTGAGCACAACTGGAGTATAATTATCTCCCTACACCTGACATTAAGCAGCATTAGGATTTGCATTCACCAAGATGAATTTATAATTACTCTAACAGAACAGTGGCTCTAAATTAAAGAATGCGTGATGAAGCCAGCCAGAGATTTCATCAGGGCTTAGGGATGGGCAATTGGATTTTGGAAGATGTCCTATAAATACTTGGTTCCGTGTTCTATTTTATAAAAATAGAAATATTGTTCAAAATTGTACACCAACTACGCTAGAGATTTTGGGGATACAAACCAAAGAGTATGACTTCAGTTAAAATTTTTGTATTAAACTAGACAAGCAATGTCACAGCATAAAAATTCTTATTACAAGAAATGTTTTGGGATATTGGAGATCCATGATTAGGTGCTATATTTAAAAAGTCACATTCGTTCATTCGTTTGGGAAACATCTAGCTTCTGAATCGGATTCTGAAAACAAAAAAAAAGTGCCTGTTATTGTGCCAAGGTGCCTTCATTTCTGTGGTTGTTAAAACTCAAAATTAATAGATTAAATACTGTTAAAATAGTGAGTCCAGGGGCTTTTGTGATATTAAGCATTTAGCACAAACAACACATTGCAAATGTTTCCAACTTTGAATAGCTTTCTTTGGCTTAAAAGGCAGTTAGGCCAACTCACAGGCAGCACGTCAAACTAGAAAAAGATTTGCACAAGGTAATTTGCGATGTCAACATTTCTAGTCAATGAAACAGGTGCCATGCATATAGCGAAATAAAAAAATTTATTAGCTAGCCATTATATTTGTGCAAACTGATTTAGCACCAAGTAGGAGGGAATTCTCAATAGGAAACATCTAAAACAAGATAGTTAAATCTTGTATTATCCGGCTTCAATTGTCTGGCATGAACACAAATTTATCAGTTCCCTTCCTTATCTTCCACTAAACATGTCATCAGTATGAAATCTAAAATTTCCTGGAACCAGTCCCATGTGAAGATCAAAGAACAACTAGTATCCACAAAGAAAATCTGTCTGCTTTCATAACTGCAATAAAAAGAACTAAGTCTACTTTCTTTAAAAACACACACACACACACACACACACACACACACACACACAGGTGAATATGCACAGTATCTGTGTGCAAATCAACTGCTACAGCCCAGAACATTACTTTTCATTTTAAACTGTAAAGTAAAACAGGATTGAACAGTTTAGAAGATTCAGCCTTACTAGATTAGCCTTTAACATCTAGTTAGTTTGCAAAGAATGTTGCCCACACATACAAATCAGTTTTAAGGGGTCATTAAATACGAAACGAGGCATTGCTGTAAATATATCTGAACATTCAGGCAAGTAATAAAAACAATGCAAGACACTGTTTGGAAATGTAAACGTAAGCTGATATATAACGAGAGAATAAAGTACATCTCCGAATGCTTCAACAAAAAGTCTGTACATTATAAAATGAAGTTAAGCTCCCATCATCCTGCAAAAAAAATCACGCAAACTGGACCTTGTTTACTGCACCTTCAGTTTATTGTAATCTACTGGAAATGGAAAATAAACTATTGCAATTCACATAAATGTCTTTTTGCCTTCTTGGTCTATAAAAAGAAACTTGCAGCTTTAAGAAAAATCTTTTTGCAACAGTTAAAAGTCACACAATCCACCACATATCATTGAAGATGCAGGATGTCATTTTCATGAAAGAATTGAACAGCTTAAAGTGAAGGAAAACCTTGATCTGGAGAATCAAGTTGTTTTGCTCATGTTGGGCGCGTCCAGTAACATGTTCAGGCTTTCACTTGTACACCATACTTAAAACCTGACACGTGATTTACTCCTTTGGGAATCCTGTCTTTAGAAATCTGAATACAAGATACATCAATTCTACCCGCAAGGGCTTGTTTCCTCGAAGTGTGTGACAACTTTTATGGACCTGACAAAGCTCCCTTGGCAGGGGACAACTTTGGAGAAAAGTGTCCCCACTTCCACAATTCCAACTGCTGGTTCTAAGCAGTGGCATTTAACAAAATTAAAATACAAACAACTGCCAGATATTTCAAAGCAAGCAAAATAAGACCGTAGTGCCCAAAACACTTTGCTACTGTGTTCATTTATTAAACCACTACAGATGCTCCAATGTAAGACTTTAGTAATTATCTGGTGTTCAGCCATGCATTCATTATATTCTTAGTTCAAAAGATGTAAAATGGAAAAAAAATCCACAATAAAGTATTTGAGCACCATTCATAAAATAAAATATATTTTTGCCACTTCTGCATCAGGAAAGAAGGAAATTGGAGGGATAATTTCTACTAATTTGTAAGGTTTGATCAATTCAAAAGACTTTTCATTTCCACAGACTCAAGCTATAAATTCAATGAATTCTTCAATGTGCAATACAAGAATCTGAATCTTATTTGTCTGGATTGACTGCAACGTGATTTTTTAAAAAAAATTTTGAGTTCCATGACGTGGAATTTTCAAGCCTTCCCAACGCGTTATAGGTGATATTCAGGTGTTTACATCCTCAAGTTCCACATAATATCACACCCGTTGAAAAATGTATTCATTAGTAGACTGAGACACTTGTGGGAACGGGCAACAATATTCCTTTCCGCTTAGCGCACAGTCTGCAAGGATTATTCCGTAGGAGCCTTTAAACTTGACTGAAGATTTATCTCAACCTCACAGAGGCAACTTTGCTCAATACTTCCTTGTCCTCACCGGCAAGAGGAAAGGCTGGACAAGGAATTCTACTCACCTTCTCACTGAAGAAGCACTCAGCGACATGGGTCATTTAAAATCACAATGGTGAAATGAGGGCATTTTACGTGGGATAGTCTCCCATCCTCCCAGAGCTGGCTAGTGATAGCCATTGTGCTAATACTTCAGAGAGTCACAGGGGTCTACAGCACTGAAAAAGGCCCTTTGGCCCATCGTGTCTGCACTGGTCAAAAACAAACTAACTAATCTAATCCCATTCAGCCAGCATTCAATTTCCATGTATTATGGCAGCATAGGAGCTGCCATTCTGACTTTTAGCATAATAATTTAATTTCACCTTGCAGGAATAGCAATATTTTTTCCCTTTCTCTGTTAAGCAAAAAACTTTTCTTTTCTAATAGTTGTGTACCTCTTTCCAAATTAGCTTCAATTTTCTACAAGGAGTCCTGCATTCTTCTTCACCCTCCCTATGAAGTATTACAAAAAAAGTGAGAAAACTGGATGTCATCTTCTCAAATAATCAATACAGTGAAATAATCACCTTTCAAAACAGTGGAGAAAAAAAGTAAACCAAATCTGGTCAGTTTGTAAAGCTGCTCATTTTTTGCAAGAGAAGTTGAAGTATTGATTGATCAGTAAATTTATTTTGACAGTTTAAATTTTCTCCACCACGTGATAGAAAATAAGTCATTTTGCTTTCTTCCTTCCCACCATTAAGCAACACAAGAGTACACAGAGAGGGTAACGTCCTATCCACAAAAGAAAATAAGTGAATTAGTCAATTTGTTCTTGTACAATGATTATGGTCAGTCAGTCACAATACAATGAGTTGTTCATTGTACCTTCCCTTAGACACTAACAGAGGAACTTAACACCTATCATTACTTCTGCAGTATTCACAAAAGTATGTTACTACGCATTACAAAAACCTGATGGAATACTGAAGAACAGCCCTTGACATTACTGCTCCCAGTTAGGCTTTGCAATGTAGGAGTTACAAAAATCCACTGCTTTTCCCTCTGACTCTGAAGAACAGCCCAGACTCCTTTCTGTTGTAATGCATTGCATGTTTGCTTGCCCATGGACCCTATAGGTACAAACAACTAAAGAACTCGGGCTGTTTCCAATTCACTTCAGAAGACATGAACTGAGAACTCTCCTCTCCCCATTTAGTTACTAGCTCTCCACTTTACAATAAGCATTTTAACTGCTCAGTAACACAATGCAGAAGACTGAAGCTACGTCAATCAGGTGTGGGCATCCTTCTTGCATCATAACAACTGCTCCTTTAAAAAAATCTTTTTATATAAAATCAGTGCATTTACACAACAGAGAGCAGCCCTAATCCTCAACCATAAATTTTAGTTTTAAAGTTTTCACTAAGTAATTGGCTCTTCTCTTCTGAAGCTGTGTCACAACACATGTAATTTACTCATTACAACCAGTCTTTTCTTGTGTTTAAAGAAATCATTACCTTTTTATGGTATGACACAAAGAGCAGCACTGAACATCAATTATATAGCCCTCTTATCAATACCCTCCCCTTTTACAAACAGCAATATGAGATAGTTTAGTTTCACCTGGGTTGGAAGAGGCAAAGACTTCCCAGATCACAACTAATTCAAAGCATGAGTTTAGGCTTTAGGACACTGGTCCCCAATTTGATTTTCGTTATAAAGCTCTTGATTTCCTTCTATTTTTTCTATAAAAAAACAAAGAACACAAAACAATCTAACGGGTCTCCTGGACTAAGAGAGGCAGAGATCTCACAGGCAGGAACTAATACGAAGTCTCATGCTAACCCAAAGTGTTTGTTTTTTTTCTCCTTATATCGGACACAGGAAGGGGGTCATCAGTTATAAAGCTTCACATCAAGACACTCTGCTTTTTATAAAACAGTGTGAAATAATCTGGTGGGTCCCCTGATTTAGAAGAGACAGCCACTTGCCAGATAGTAACTGACTGAATGTCTTGTCATAACCCAAAAGTGCTTTTGTTTTGCTTTTGTGTTGATGCTAGCATACACGATGAGCAACACTGAGCAAGTTATAAACCTCTCTTTCAATATCTGCTGTTTTTATACACAGCAATAAGAAATAATCTAGTTGCCTCCTAGATCAGAAGAGGAGGACATCTCCCCAGATAGGAACTGACAAAGTTTCTGTGGTTTTTGCTGTTCCAAACGTGTTTTACTGTAGGACACAGGAAGAGCAGCACTGATCCTCCTTGTCAGGTTGTGCAGCGTAGTTCATCTGTCTGACGATCTCAGCGAAAAGCTCATCAACCATGGTCTTGCTCTTGGCCGAGGTCTCCATGAAGGGGCAGCCCCATTCCTCAGCTAGGGCCCGGCCCTCAGCACCTGACACCTCTCGTTCGCTTTCTAGGTCCACCTTGTTGCCCACGAGGATGACGGGCACTTTTTCGTAGCGTTTCACGCGGATGATTTGGTCACGCATAGGCCTGATATCCTGGAAGGACTGCTGGTTGACCAGGCTGTAAACCAGGATGAAACCCTGGCCATTCTTAATGTACAAATCCCGCATGGAGGCAAACTGCTCAGTGCCTGCTGTGTCCAGAATCTCCAACACCGAGGGTGACGAGTCCACCTGTAAAAGAATCACAAAATGCTTACAGCACAGGAGGTGGCTAATGTACTCATGCCAGCTCCCTGTAAGAGCAACTCAGCTTATTCCACTCTCCTGCCCTATTCCTGTAATCCAAATTTTTTTCTTTTCAAATAACAATCAAATCCCCGTTTGAAAGACTTTATTGCATCTACCTCCACCACACAGACAATGCATGCCAGATCCTAACCAGTTGCTGCACGAGAGCTTTTTTTCATGTCATATTTGCTTCTTTTGCCATTCAGCTTAAATTTATGGCCTCTGGTTCTTAACCCTTCTGACAATTAGGACAATTTCTCTCTATCAAACTCCCCTTGGATCTTGGGGACTTCTCTTCCACAAGGATTACAACCACTTTCCAATTTGTCAAATTAACAAGTTTTCCACCCCTGGAATCATTCTGATGATCTTTTTTCAGTGCTGCTCCAATGCCTTCACATCTTTCCAAAGTGTGGCATACAGAATTTGACAATTCTCTGACCGAAGTAATCAATTTTTAAACCACAGAAAGCGGCTGAGGGCAGAACAGTGAATATTTTCAAGAAGTCTGATCCCTTTAGTCCTCAAAACTATATATACAAAGGTAAGCGTAAGCAGGAATAGGATACTGAGTTGGATGATCATCCATGATCATATTGAATGGTGGAGCAGGGTTCAAGAACTGAACGGCCTTCTCCTGCTCCTATTTTCCATATTTCTAAAAATTCTTTCTTATTGGGGTGCTGCATTATCAGAGGGGCCACTGCTCGGATGAGATGTTAAACTGAGGCCCTGTCTTTTCTCTCAGGTGGATGTAAGTGTTCCCACAGGTACTAGTATGAACAGATGCAGGGCTGCTCTTTCTCATCAGCATTCTGTCCAATATTTATCCCTCAATCAACATCACGCAAAATAATTCAGTCATTACCCAACAACTAACGCTCTCTGGGAAAGAGAATTCCAAACATAAATAACCCTCAGTCAAGAAATTCCACATTTTGAATGGAAATGAAATTCTATCTAGTTGTAGACTCCCTCATGGAGGCAAACATCCCCTTCTATCCCTTGTCTAGCCTCTTCAAGATCTTAAGAATTCCAGTAAGATCATCCCTTAGTCTTCTCAACTCCAATAAGCAGAGGCCCAATCTACTCAACCTTTGCACGTAATACAACCAGCATTACCAATTCTCCAGGATGACCCCGCAGTGTCCAGGAACAATACTCTAATCTTCTGGATGCTAGCAGTGAACAGAACCCCCCAAAAGGAAAAGCTATTAAAGCAAATTGTTTGTCTTTGATGTACACAGAAGACCTTCCTCTACTGTACTGGGGCATAAAACTATAGGGAAATGGGGAGGTGGGGTGCGAAAGGAAGGAAGGAAGTAGGGCGCAAGGGGTCGGTGTTTTAAAACCTCCAAGGAAAACATCTAAATCACAGCGGGCAGTCCTAGAGACCTCCTCAGAGAAAGTGGCTGCCAAGTGCGACCTGAGGGTGCCACAGAAATGCATATCTGGGGGCTTGCTTTCGATGCTGGCTGCCTCTTCCTGGAAGACGCTTTCTCAAACCTCGGCTGTCACTCCCAATCGCCTCCCACCTCAACAACAAATGTTTGAAATGAGGTGGGAGGGCAGGGGGACGAGAGAGAGATAGAGAGAGACAGATAAGCCACTACCTCGATCTCTTTGCGGTAAAAGTCCTCGATGGTCGGGTCATACTTCTCGATGAAGGTCCCGGTGACAAACTGCACTGTCAGGGCTGACTTGCCCACGCCGCCGCTGCCCAGCACCACCACCTTGTACTCCCGCATGGCCGCCCCTGCCACACACTGCGCCTTTAAGGTGGGGGCGGGGGTGGGAGGGTGAAATAAAAATCGGAGGGCAAGAAATGCGGGGGCAAATTAAAGGGGAAGTCAAACTTTCCCACAATCCTTTATTTTGCCCGCACTTCTTCTTTTCCTCAGGAGGGTCTGAGAGGGGGAAAAAATCCACCCCTCCCCCGGAGGGAGACAAAAGGCCGCTCCTCCGCCTCACAGGAAGGTAACGGCGGCGCTTCCTCCCCTCCCCATCTTCTTTCTCTTCATCGAATGTAACGCAAGTTCCTCCTCATTTCTTTTCTCTCCCACACCCCCTTCTCTTCCTCTCCGGCTTTACACTCCCGAAGCTCTCCCATTGCCCGACTCCGCAGTCAGCACCGCCATACTCTTTCGGGCGGGGACACACACACACACACTCTCTCTCTCTCTCTCTCTCTCTCCCTGCCGTTTGCAGACTGCTCTCCGTTCGTTCGCTCACCCGCCCGCGCCGCCTACTCACGTAACACGACCCGGCCACCGTAGTCGATCAGCCCGTCCCTTCCGTGTCCATCAGGCCGCTGTCATCCAATCGCCGTGCCGGACTCTCTACGAGATCCCGCCTTCCACTTCGTCGCGCTGGCCCATTGGTCCAACGGCTATCCGTCACTATCCTCTCGCCCAATCCTGGCGGTCGTTGTCAGCATGTACGCTACCTCGTTCCTCACCACTGACGGCGCTCGAGTTCCCTTCCCTCCGGCCTCTCGATACTCTCTCCGCCTCCTCCTCACGTCCGTCCAGTCCCAACACCATGATTTACGTAGACACCCTCGCCATCGCGATGGCTGCAGCTCATTGTCCCCACCACCTGCCCATCAAGCCGGGCGACCAATTCAAGCGCGAAGATTTACATAGTCGTGCGCACCCTTGCCGGTTACGGCCAGCCGATTGTTCCTTGATGTTGTCCATCAAACAGGAGCTGGCCAATCGCCGGCCTAGGGCGCTGCCGCTCAAGATGCCATCCCGCCCCCAAACGCAAACGACCTCCTCCACCCGTCTCGGACAGCTGTCCATTAACAGCGCGTTGGCCAATCGCCATATCGGAGATTCTTAGCCCCGCCTTCTGAGGGCACCCGCGGAAAGCCTATTGGCCAACTCCCTCGCGGCCGGCCCCGCACAACCAGGGCGGGGTGATTGTCCTCGCGGATGAGAAGGGCTGGTGGACAGGTTAGGGGAGTTCTGATTGGACAATCCGGCAGCGAATAGGCAGGGTCCGTGGGGTAATGCTGTTTCCAGGTATGCGGGATGGTGGATGTAGCGGATGCAGTTACCATGGGAACAGCGCACGGGGACCCCGCCAGCTTCTCTTACCGAAGAGCACACGCAGTCTTTCCAACTTTATACGCGAAAGGCTGGCGCCAGCTCGGTTTTTCAACTGGAGAAACGAAACCAATGAATAATTCTGTCCGTGCCTCCGCTTTATACGTGTCGGTATCCCATACCAATATCTGTGAAAAGTGAACTTTTATATGGATAGTGCTAACTGAAATAGAAATGATCTGCTGAGATGGTAATCGTGATGATGCAAATAGTCTTGGAATTTTCAACTATTTCCTTTGGCAGCTCGCTTCATTTTGGGATGGTCGTTGAGAAAAAAACAATGTTAATATATTATCTGCAAGTTACAGATAGTTAACAGCAGAGTATAATAAGATCAGGTCTGCACTCTACTTAGTAACTGTTTAAATGTTTTTAATAAATACAACTGAATACACTCTGACATAGAAGGACTCACTTTGACTGGGATAAAGTTACAGTACTAGGACAAGCAAAACAAAGACAAGCTCGAGGTTTTCAACCACCGATGCAGTTAGCAAACATGTTGAAATAGATCCCATCGACATAACACAATGGTACAAAACCGGAAACAAGACTGCCCACCTTAACAGACCGGACTGTATAAATTCAGAGCGGGACAGAACAACAGCACATTTATGGAGACTACACAGCACTGATGATGTCATCTAGAAGGGAGATGAAACGTTAACATGAAAACCAGTCAGCTTGGCGAACCAACCAACAACTCCAACATAACTACATAAGGGACGGTAAGAGAGGAATCCTGGGTAGTCTGCAGTTCCACATGTTTTCATGTCAACATGACACACAGGTTCAGTCGCTTTTCTTTACATCATGCCTTTTAACATTTAACCATGAACACAACTTCTTACTCCCAGGTTTGGGCTGACAAGTTGTAAGTAATGTTCGCGTCACTCAGGTGCCAGGCAATGATCATTTCCAATAAGGGAGAATCTAACCATCTCCTCTTGATCTGCAGTGACATTACCATCACTGAATTCCCCACTATCAATATCCTAGAGATTACCGTTAGCTAGAAACTGAATGTGACTAGCCATTCAAGTACTATATGAACAGGTCAGAGGCTAGGAATCCTGCAGTGAGTAATACACCCATGACTTGCACCATTTGCTAGGCAAAGTCAGAAGTGTGGTGGAATACTCTCTTCTTGCCTGGATGAATGCAGCTTGACAGTTGCAGTTTGATTAGCGCCATTGCCACAAACTTTCAACCCCTCCACCACTGATCCGCAGAGCCATCTACAAGTGTGTACCATCTACAAGCGGCACCTTAGCATCTTCCAAATCCATACCACTTCCCCATTGAAGGACAAGGGCATCAGCTGTATTGAAGCACCACTTGCAAGTTCTCTGCCAAGCCACTCACCATCCTGACTCGGAAATACTTTAAATCGTTTTCAGTGTTAGGAGAAAATCCTGGAATTCCCTTCATAACGGCATTGTAAATCTACCTAAGTCAAATAGACTGCATCAGCTCAAGAAGGCAGCTCACCACCAGCTTCTTGAAGGCAACTAGGGATGGGCAATAAACGCTAGCTGAGTCAGCGATGCCCACGTCCAACAAACGGATAAAAAATAGGTTGTGCAGTCCAGTACCAGGATTATGGGATTAATTGAATAGTTTTTAAAGGATCACTGCTGACGCGGTGGCCAAATGGCTGCATCATTCTATGATTGTGTAACTCTTAGGATCAAGGATAATCTGTTCCCACTCCAGTTTGATGGGTTCTAAGATGGCTGGTAAGTGCAATGTGCAATCTGCAGACTCTGTCTCTTGTAGGCTTATTGCTGATTAAAGGGTTGAACAGATGGGTGTTTGGAGGTTTGTACAATTTGTTTGACACCTCTACATATTCCAAACAAACAACCTTTGTAACACCTTATGCCTGACTCTGCAAAACTGATTCCTTGGAGAAACATGAGACAACACAGTATGGAGCTGGAGGAATACAGCAGGCCAAGCAACATTAAAGGAGCAGGAGAGTTGACGTTTCTTCAGAAATGGGGAGGGGGAAGGGAGCTGGGAAATAAACAGAGAGAGGAAGGGTGGGGCTGGGATGGTGAGTGCAGGTAGGGAGTAGTGGGGATTGGTTAGTGAGGTGGTAGGGGCGGATAGTTGGGAGAGAAGATGGACAGGTTGTGTCAGGTCAAGGAGGCGGGGATAAGAGGGAGGGTTGGTCATGGGATGAGGCCGGGTGTAGGGAGATTTTGAAACTGGTAAAATCCACGTTCAGGCCATCGGGTTGTAGGCTCCCAAGGCAGAATATGAGGTGCTGCTCCTCCAGTTTGCGGGTGGCGTCATTGTGACACTGGAGGAGGCTCAGGATGGACATGTCACCCAGGGAATGGGAGGGGGAGTTAAAATGGTTGGTGACCGGAAGGTGTTGTCGTTATCTCCTTGGAGAAACAAGGCCCCTCTTGCAAGTCCTCATAATTGACTGGAGAAATGTTTAAAATAAAGGCAGGTCATTCAGCCTGTTTTGTCCCTGTGGAGGTTGAAAAAGAGTCATCCAAAAAGATTCCACTTTCCAACTCCTGGTCTACAGCCCTGTAGGTTACAGCGCTTCAAGGACATAGCCAAGTCTTTTTTTTTTAAAATGTGGCGTGTTTCTGCCTCAACCACCCTTTCACCATGTTTTTGGTAAAATAAAACCCCTCAACTCCCCTCGAATCCTTCTTCGATCACTTTATAATTATGCCCCTGCTTATTGACCTCTTTGCTAGAGGTAAACATCAATTAAATCCCCCAATCATTGGAAAATATGAATTGGAAAGGTGAACCAGTTATTATGATTGAGTGATCTATCAAAGGTATGTAATATATTCCCCCTATGCACGATTGCTCAGTAATAACAGGTTCAGCAGCTGAGAAATTGGTCACTCACCTTCTCTCTGCCTCTTTTAGCATTAGTGCTCCAAGTACCTGCTGTCAATCAGAATAAAAAAGCTCTGTAAAATTTTCAATTCAGTCATCGCTTATTTTCTCCACAATGAAGTGAATATTTTGATGCAACTTTCCAGGTGGTGCCTGGTAGTGAGAAGTAGTTTAGACAAGCGACCGAGATTTGTAAATATGTGCTCGCCTTAAGCGAAGCTCCAGAGCAGGATCACAACCTCCCATTGTTGCTTGGAGCCTGCCACTATTTGTGCAGGGCTGTGTTTAGGAATATTGGGGATCTGCTGGTCCATGCAGAAATCATCCTTCCGGGAAAATGACCTGTCTGAGTTGTCCTGTGCTTGCGGAATCGCTGTCGGATTCAGACACCAAGGGAGAGGCATTCGTGATAATTACTCAGGTAATTCTTCAGTTCTATGGAAATGTCACAGCAGTAATTCAAAATTTAAGCATTTCTTATCTGTAAACTTTCCTACTCATAGAATCCCTACAGTGTGGAAGCAGACCATTCAGCCCATCAAGTCCACACAGACCCTCCGAAAAGCAGCTCACCCAGACCCACCCTGCTACCTTATCCATATAACCCTGCGTTCACCATGGCTAACCCACCTAACCTATACATCCCTGGGTACTAGGGGCAATTTAGCATGGCCAAACCACCTAACCCGCACATCTTTGGACTGTGGGAGGAAACCAGTGCACCCGGAGGAAACCCACGCAGACACGGGGAGAACGTGCAAACTCCACACAGATGTTCACCTGAGGGTGGAATCAAACCCAGGTCCTGGCGCTGTGAGACAGCAGTGCTGACCACTGAGCCACCATGCTGTATTTTTTGTGTTCTTTGATTTATAAATCACAGTATTCATCTCACCACAAAACAAAGGCAGATACTGTATTTTATTCAGATGCTGAGGCAGTCAAACAAAAAAAGACGTACAAATGCGGAGAATGATTCATGATCAAACATCATTGATTTCTTTCTCTATTCTTTCATTGGACATCTTCGATAAGTCCAGCATTTGTTTCCCATCCATAACTGCCCTTGAATCGAGTGACTTGCTGGGCCGTTTCAGGGGCAGTTAACTGTCAACCACATTGCTGTGTGTCTGAAGTCACATATAGGCAGACTATGTAAGGATGGTTGATTTTCTTTCCTGAAGAACACTAATGAACCAGATGAGTGTTGCAACAAATGGTGACTGTAGTTATAGCCACCATTACGGAAATTAATTGTATACTCCAGATTTTATTAATTAAAT